CTAACAGTTCTATTTTACAGATCAGGTATAATATATAATAGTATAATTCACTTTGAACAGAGTGAAAGCTATGATATTTAATCTAACCTAGCTAACAGCTCAATTTTACAGATTAGGTATAATATATAATAGTATAATTCACTCTGAACAGACTGAAAGTTATGATATTTAACCTAACCTAGCTAACAACTTGATTTTACAGATCAGGTATAATATATAGTAGTATAATTCACTCTGAACAGAGTGAAAGCTATGATATAACGACATAAGAAGAACAAAAGAATTTTAGAAAACACTCGTTGGTATAAACTACACTTCTCACCGCTTCTTACGAAATTTAAAGTTTAAAAATGGCGGCGGGACATGATTATTTTTCCAAAGATTGAAACCATGTATCATTAATTCTTGCATATTATGCTCCAGCACTTTAAATTTAAACGACATCACATGTAATTAACAAAATCTCGTTGCTTACCATTTGAATGATTACCTCCAGTGCTATATTATTTTATTTACGAAGCGACGATGCTTTGCGAATAAATTGATACCAAAACGAGGGCGAATGATTAATCTAGATATGCCCACCCTATTCGCAAAATTGGAACGATTGGACAAGAATTTTATCATTCAAACAATAATTTCAACCATAAAATATTTCTCCAAATTATTAACGTTAGAGTGTGCTAATATGTATCTTATCTTTCTAAACGATGTAGAAGTCACTCAATTCACTGTTCCCTGTATATAACGACACAGACGAAGGATATCACGATATCGCGCGGAATAACTCTCGACTAGCTCTCGCGGGATCGTATTATCGCGAGGCGATGAGAAGCATCAGCGGACAGAACGACAAAGCTCAGGGACAAATGGGCGAAGGAAGGGGCAGCCATTGCGAGAGATGCAAGAGTTGGAAAGTGTTTCTGAAACTCGGATCGGCTGTTAAGCGGATTTACCGGCGGCACGCGCGGACGTTTCACGAGCACAGTGAGGCAGATAATGACGTTAAGAGGATCCAGGAGCCGCTTGCGGCGCCCGGCGAAAAGTATGCGTCGTGCACCCGATAAATTTCACTGACCTTCTCCTCCTCATCCTCTGCCCGGTTCTACGCGATCCTGCCCGAATGGGCGACGTGCTGCTGCACGCCTATACGATTCGAAATCGTATTGTTTAGACGGCCGCTCGCGATGAATATTCACGGGGCTTGAGTTGGCTGAATATTATCGTATTATCGAGCGTGTTATCGCTGGCGTTTATCTCTTTGATATTCGCCGCGTGTGTCACGTACGGCTCACTCTCGATTACAGCCGGTTACTTGTTGAATATCTATGGCTAATGGCCATTCGTTGTCATGGAATTATTTATTAGTTTGACCAAATGTACACCGTTTGCTCGTCGTCTATCGCTTGGGATTGTCGTTCTACTACTCCACAGCAGTAAAATTAATTATTTTCTTCTCCGTAAATTTTCGCTACTACTGTAGGCTAATGAAGGTTAGGATCAGAAGGGTTAGGCTATTTCTTACGGGAGACCCTCAGTTTGGGGGACTTTTTATTGATACGAATTGCTTCGGTGGAGAATGGTGATTACTTTTACACGAAAGTGAGAGAAATACTTGGTTCTTTCCTCTTCACTTTGTCTTCTTCTGTTTTGTTCCATTGCCGAATCCCTTTTTTTGTCACGTAGTTACGATGATATGAATAGAAAGACGGCGAGAACAATAAAGTGATGAAACAAAACAGGCGAATAACAATGACGCAACTACAACACGGTAACAATCAATATCGAACAATAAACATATTAATTAACCGAAAGAAAACATGCCAATTGACCAACAGGGAACAAATAATCATGCGTTTAATTATAATAACATTGTAACCATAATTATAATAGCAGGAAGGAAAGCTCTTTCTTACGTCAAAGTTCTAGAGTGCGTAACATAATTGTAAAAATATAGCAAACGATATGAAAATTTCAAGCGACACCGCAGAGATAATATATATTATTTTAAGTAATGTGTCTGAAAACGATATATTTTGATAAAATATTTATGTATAATTTATTTATATTATTACTAGATGGATTTTAGTTTAATTTAAAACAAAGTTAATTTGCAATTAGTAAATATTGTGTAATAAACCTAGCCATTAGAAATAATGTTTTATTGTTACGTTTTAATTTAAAAAAAATTAATTCTTTTTATCATAGGTTCCTAGAATTTCTAAAGAAATCTATTTGGTTGAAATAATTGTAATACCCGCGTGACGAATTCTGTTGTTGTTGTTGCCATCTAAAAGAAGAGTACATTTGTTGAAGCCTTGACTAGCGATTTTGCTATAAAAGGGAAAGAAACTGAAGTGAAAAATAGATTCAATGAAAGTTTGAATCAGACAAACCTAACCTAAACCTAACCTAACCTATTTGAGCCCCATCGAAGGGTGTGGGTTCAACAACGTTAAAACTTCAATAATAACAAATTAATTGAATGATTTTCGCGCTGGGGAATTGTGGGAAGATATTTCGCAGCGTGGGAGTGTTAAGTTGGAAAGGTGAAATGTGCAAAATCGTCGCAAATCGATCGGATTGAACGCCGCCCGTCGGGTAGGGCGAATCCATCAGCGGGCTCGCGAAATGAATGCAATCAATCAAACGCGATAGTTGGAGCGTAACGCCCGGTTGAATTCTGTTTCAGTTACTTGGAGATATACAACGAGAGGGTGAGAGATCTTTTGAAGCCGTCCTCGAGCACGAGCGGATTGAGAGTTCGCGAGCATCCTCGACTTGGCCCTTACGTTCAAGGTACCCAAGGCAATCGAACATTTAGTTTCGCAAATCCCCACGCAATTTCGATAATTGTCATCCAAAATAATTGTTGTCGCGAAGATTTCCTTCCACTTGACTCTCGCCCCTCCAACGTTTTACGGCCTCGCTTCTACCAGCAATTCTTCCACGATTCAAGCTCTCAAGTTTCGAAGATTTTCCTCTTTTTTTTTCCAAATACCAGACAAAGATAATCTTCTAAACATTTATATACTATTTCTTATCGCTGATTTCCTCTTTTCTTCTTTGTACAATTTAAAATTCTTAATCACCTGTCTGCTTGCTCACTCCTCGCCTGCCAAGTTACATTTCTTACTACTGAATTTTC